AATTATGAATGGGGGGCGGGAAGGGGAGAAAAGCATGAATGGGGCAGAGGAGGGAGGCGGCGCAGGACTCACCCCCCGGCGAACAGATGAAGCAGCGTGCTCTTCTCCGCCGAGACCCCGGCCATGCCCGCCCCCCAAGCCGCCCTCCGTCCTTCCTGGCGCGGCGCTGCGCTGCGAACTGCCAAACTCCGGAATAGCCGGCCCCGGGATCGCTTTGCTCGCCACTGCGCCTGCGCTGCCGTCACGCGATGCCGGCGCCGGGCTCCACGTGCGGAGCGGGCCAACCACGAGGCCGGCGGAGGCGCGAGGGGGGAGGGCGATGACGTGCGGGGGGGCGCCGCGGGCCGCGATTGGCTGGCCGGGGGAGGCGGGGGGAGGCGAGGACGAGAGCTGGGGGGGTGGGGCTGACGCCACAGAGGGCGGCGGGAGGCGACCGTCACAAAGGAGTGGGCGGGGCTTGGCGGAGGGGCGGGCCGATAGTTTTTTCTTATGAATGGGAGACCGTGGGAAGGGGTGGCGTGGTGGGTACATTCCCGTAATGAATGAATATTAGCGCTAAAAAAAAAAAAAAAAGTGGGACTCACAGCTCACCGCTTGGTCCCCTCTCCCAGGGATGTCGGACTACAAGTCACGGCATGCGGCAGCTACGTGGCTGGGGATAAGGGGAAGTGTAGTCTGTCTGTTACAAACACACACAGGGCAGTCTTTGCTTTTAGGTTGTCAGGCTCCACTTAAGCTAGTTTTCCAGCGAAGGCCAAGCAAAGAAAGGAGAATCTAAGCCATGGTTTACAACAGCCCTTTTATCCCTTAAAAAAGTGTTGTATCTTATGAATTAGGATGAAGGTATTTTTATGATGACTGTGATTGTGATTTACCACTTGTTGCTTTTACGTACACTGAGAGCTTATGCACCAGAGACAAATTCCTTGTGTGCCCAATCACACTTGGCCAATAAAGAATTCTATTCTATTTGTCAATCTTGGCAATTTTAAGAAGAGTGGACTTCAACTCCCAGAAGTCCCCAGTCAGTATGCCGGCTGGGGAATTCTGGGAATTGAAGTCCACAAGTCATAAAAGGGCCAAGTTTGAACACCCCTGTTCTAATGCTACAATCTCTCCTGTAAATACAGTTTTTTTGTTAAAAAAAGAAAAGAAAAGACAGAACAATGCATTGTGGGAAGCTGCCTTTGCACCCACCCCTTTTGTCTAGAGGCGCATTTTTCCTGGGAAAGAGGAACACGCGAACTCGGTGTCACATTGCAACACAATCCGGAGAGTCACCGGGGGCCACCTTTGGGCAGTGACGTTGCTCTAGTCTAGCAAAAAAAAAAAAGAAGTGTGTTTGTGTGTGGTTTCTTTGGAGAAGAGGCAGCTGTTTGTCACGAGATCCTCTCTGGGGAAGGTCAACTTGGAAGGAGAGAGGAAAGATCTACCAATTACTGGCTTCTTCATAAACAAAGGAGAAAATGCAATTTAATAAAAAAAAATCAAAACTTCATGATAAAAAAAACCCACAACCAACCCACAACCAGGTTGCTTTTCTCCTTGATTAGTTTCCATCCATTGTTTCTTGTCTTGCCTTCTGGTGCTTTGGAAAATCGGTTGACCCCCGTCTTCTTTGTGGCAGCCCCTTAAATATTGGAAGACTGCTATCATGCCACCCCTAGTCCTTCTCTTCTCTAGACTGGCCATACCTGATTCTTCATATGTTTTAGCCTCCAGTCCCCTAATCATCTTTGTTGCTCTTCTCTGCACTCATTTCCTGGAGAAATTTGTAATCTTAAACATGCGATGACAATTGTGTTGATGGAAGAAATATGCGTGTACACATATACACACTCTCAATTTTTATTAAGTTGTTCCCAGACTGAGAGAACAATATGGAACATTGAAAATTCCAAAGTGCTTTTCAACAGAAATTCATTCAGGAAAGCTATTTGCTTGCCAGGCTGAAAAGTTTGACTATTATTTTCAAAAAAAAAAAAAAAATCATTTGGCCCTAAGGGAAGTTCTGCCTTCTTCTGAATAGATAAATTAAAGGGAACCATTCTCTAATCTAGCATTTTAATCCAATCTAGAATTTTAACACCCCCCCCTTGCTGGCTCTGAATTATAAAAACATCTGACATCCCTAAGAATCACTTCCTTAAATTCCTGTTTGTTTCCCCCACCCACCCCAAACTTTGGCTGATAAGGTTCCCCAGCATACATCTCCAGACATCTGCAAGACCAGATAACAGGTCTTGCTTCATTCAAGTTCACAAATGGCATTGTTGGTCTCCGGGAGTTCATCTGAATTTCGATCAGATAAACTTGTTTGCAGACCCCTGTTGATCCAAGGATCATGTGATGGTTTTGAAAGGATCTGTCCTGGAGGCAAACATTTTTCTATCTGGACAGATGACTAAAAACCTTCACCTTTGGGCCAGTAGCATATTTACCCATCCCCCAAAAAAACAACCCCACTTTTTTTTTTTTTACTGCTTAAAAACTGTTGTGTGGTGATCCCTAAGTCAGTGAACCAGACAGAATCTTTGGGAGAGAAAAAAAAAACAGAATTTTCCCCACTCTAATGATGTTTCAAGACTTTACAGTTCCCAGAAGCTTGGGGAAATGTTTTAAGCCGATTGCCAAAATCAATAATTGGAACAAAACTTCCGATGGGTTGTCCAAATGGGGAGCATAAAGCACGGGCCTTTTTTGTTCCCGTCCAAATAGAAAATACCAAAGGAAAACCACGTTTTCCACCACTAACTGTTTAGCTGCAGGCTTAACCCACCAAAATGTGGCTTCTTAAGCCTTCTCTGCCAATTTTTTTTTTTTTAATAATCCACAACATAATTCCCTGGAGATGGAGAACTGGTTTGTCCGCTTCGGAAAAGCCTGCAAAATAATCTTTTAACAAATTGGAGAAGGGAAATGTGATCTGTACTAACACTGCTGGTCTGTAAGAGGCAATGGGGGAACCCAGAGAATGACAACAGGGCAGTGAAGAAAATAGACCCAAACAAAAGGCCTCTGCCTTATTTTATTACTAAGACGCTAGTCCTCATGGTTCTGATTTTAAAGGGCTGGCGCTAATTACCTGCAGGGTTCACATGTAGCTAAAATGCGGTTTGCTAGGTTACAGCTTAGTGGCCTATGCAAATCCAGTTTCTGTAGAGAACCTGCAAAATTTTGTGCAAATATAATTAAGAGTCACTGTTCTAATGTGGGAGACTTTAGGCTGTCCATTGTTCCATTAGGAACTAAGAAGGAGAAATGTAACTTTTCCAGCTACCCCAAGCATGCTAACAAGGCACATAGATTGACTAATGTGGAATTACTCCTGAAACAGAGAGGATAGATAAATAAATAAACTTAAGCTCGGCCGATCTTGGCTAAGCGAAGCAGGGTGAGACCTCTTGATGAGTCCCGTGAAAAAAAAAAACAGAACAAAACCACAATTTCCCAGAGCTGCAAACCAGAGTGGGAAGCTGAAATCTCATCCCGGAATCCTTGAGTCTTTCCAATAAAATAAACATCTAAAATAAATAACGCTAATCAGTTGTTTCAATACCTATAGTCGCCACCAGAGGGCAGAGAAGGCTTAAGAAGAGAATAAAAATCCAGAAAATTTAAAATTTAGCAGAAACTGAATTAGGGACCACTGTTTTACACCCTTGCTTGCCAATGCATCCATGACACTGGTGCAAATTTCTCTTTGACAATGCAAAGTCACTACACAGGTTCAGGAACACACAAGGGAGGTGGCTGAAACATTTCACAAATGGAAACCTGTCCTTTTCCTTATATACAGATATTTAGAACGGGACAGGAATCTGAAGCTAATATTTTGGCCCCATCAGGACTGACTCTCTTCCTCAGTTGCTGGCTTCTGTTCCAGCACCAATAACTGGCTTTTTCAAAAATAGCAATATTCTGAATATTGCTGTCAGAATTTGAATCCACGACTTAGGATCTATGCACCATCGCTCCTAGCCCCACCGATGAATTTTCTCTCTGCTAGCTATCAGCTCTGGGTTTCCAACAGATAACCCTCAAGAAAACGAAAATATTGACAAGGGAAATGGATTTCTCCCTCATGTGGCGGCTGTTAAGGTGGACAGAATCAATGCAAAAACTAACAACAGCTTTATTTGCACTTTATCCATGGTATTAATCACGAAGCCCAAATATTTTGTATTTCCAAAATGACAGGCCTGACTTTGTGTAATTTGCCTCCTGGAAAAAAAAAAAACCCTGTGCAGAAAATTTTTAATTTGGTTTCTTCAGTTGTTTCTTTTTCTTAAAAATAAATAAATAAATAAATAAATAATGGGACCAATTTACTTTATGAATCAAATAAAGCAAAATTGCGGAGAAGTTTGCTTCTCCCGCTGTAATTTCTTTCTTCTTCTTTTTTTTTGTTCCGGGTTATTTTGTATTTTACATGCACATATTTTCATGAGAGACTGCATTGCTTTTTATCTTTTACTAACAAATCCTGCAATGATCAGACGCCATTAAAAAGCAAGCAAACACCATCTGTTTCAAGAAAACACAAGCATAAATGGAAAGCAACAACTTCTAAGCTTTCTGACAACAAACAGCACTATGCAAAACAGGAGTTATATATAATGCCAGCCAAAAATCTCAACCTCTTTTTTGCAACGCGGTGACCAAAACTGGATGCAGTATTCCAGATATGGCTTTACTAAGGCTTTATAACGTGGTACTAATACCTTGTAAAACCTCGCTTTTCTCCACATTAAATTTCATTTTGTTGGATAGAGGCCATTGTTCAAGTTTGTATTTTTTTGTGTTTTTTTTTTTAATTTTGGGTTTTTAAAAATTATTCTGGGCAAACATATCCTGCAAACTCTTCCGGCTCAGTAAGTTTAAGATTCAATCTCTCCAGTCAAACCCCTTAATGGATATATTTAATAATCAGGTTAACAATTTGTCCTGCATTGTGACAACGATGTCCAGCTTATACATCGCAACAGGTTTTGCTAACCCACACCTCTGTTTTGTGATAGCACACTTCGCCGCTTAGCCCCTCCAGTTTCCTAACTAAATCCAAATCTTCCCTAAAACTCTTAAAACTTCCTTTCCAGGGGCTAAAATAGGCTCTGGTTTCTAA